TCAAAGTAAAAGTCAATGTAAGGTCCATTAGGATCAGAACAAGTAAAACCAATGATTAACACTACGGCCATCAATCAGTTCGGATCCTATGAAGGAAGCTTTATCACTTATACTATGGGCATAGACCATCAATCCCGTTGGTCCAAAATGAATGAAATCTTTAAACATCTCTGAACCAGCGACGATACCAGCTGGTTCAAACCAATCTTTAATCGATTCGATCTTCTCATTTTGGGTTAAATCCAACCTTGTACATGTATTTTCTCGGACAGCAATCTTTTCCTCTGTTGAATGATAATAATAACGTCGATTCATTTTGTCCTGAATGATTGCCTCCAAGTCAATAAAGCCAACTTTATTTTCAATATCATAAAAGTCATGGACTAAATTGTTTCTGGTTGGGTTAATAACTTCAACAGTAGCATGGTAACCAGTTTGTTTATCAATCAATTCAAGAACATTTGGAACCTTTAATTCGCCCACTTTACCCCTTTCAGGACACTTGAATTCCTCACAAAAAACTGAGTTGATCAAAAAAACAAAACAAAGAAGCAGAGAGAAGTCCATATTCACTTTTAGTACAAGTTTAAGGTTGAAAAATTGGTCGATTTTAGCAAATGAATATTTCAACACTTTATAACTGTATATTGAACATAGTATTAGTTTGTTGGACAATTAAAGGCGTGTTTTAATGAAGGTTTTAATGCAAGTCTTGATGGTTATGGAATTAAGTCTAATTGTTAACGTTATCATTCTAATTCATTTAGATTGGGTGTCAAAATCAATAAGAGTATTAATCTCATTCTAATCATAGTGACAATGTGTGAAAAATCAGATTATTGAATAATCAAATGTTAACTTTCCTTCCAAGAAATTTAACATTGGATTCAATCGATTAAATTGAGTTGATATCTACCAATTAACATGAAAAATATAGTTACATAGATCAAGGGTCAGGTTAATAGGATAAAGCTCATGCAAAATTATTTGGAATTAAATATCAACAAATTTCAAACGCATTGTAATAATGAAATAATGAAATGAAAAGATACCTCGATGATCGTGTTTGATAACTGGTTTCCATTTTTAATCATTCATTATCCAGTTCGTAAAACTTAAACATTTTTCAATGTTAATTGTCTAAAAATGAAATGATTATCTGATCAACAAATAAATGTCAATTTAGAAATTTCTGTCCAAATGAAGGCAGCCAAGTTCAGTTGTGCTCATAGTCATTCAGGCACGAATTGTGACTCCAAATTATAATGACATTTTACCGCTTATTTCGTACCGAGCTTTAGCAATAAACAACAACTCTAACTCCTTCAATTGACAGTCTAACCTGTGATAACGTGTTATATTGTTATCATAATTTGCTCAAAAAGCCTCCCACCTTAAACAATTAAATCATTGATAAGCATAAATAAGGGTTTAGCCAGAGATACTATCTTTAGGTATCTTACAAGTATCTTGTTAGAGCGATTTAATGTGACTAAATAAGGCGGTGCTACTACAAATGGGTATCTGCCACCAAAAATCGACCAGCTCAGATTTTTGTCAGCTGTTAACTTTTTCAAAAGTTGCTTAGGGTGACGCGTTCGTCCACAATGCGCTTCAAAGTTAAAACAATTTTGGGCGATTTACCTCCAATTATACACCTTTCCTTTATTAGATTAAACTCGAGGAATGAAACTCACTCTCCATTTATAAGTAAAGAGCTCTTCTGAAGAAACGGGTTTAATATCTTTACCAACTATCAAGCTATCACGATATTGATCAATTTTTCGTCAAAAATAAGTAAACCTTTTTTAATGCCTTTTCACGGTAATTAAATGAATTCATAGAAAAAAGATTGACTTTTTTTTCGATAGGAAACTTCACGCACTCATTTTCCACTGATGTTTTCCACCCAAAACTCTGTTTTGATTCTTTGTCAAGTTCTAGGTAAGTCCATAACTTAGATCAGCATTTCTTTTGGCTCAATTTTGCAATGATTCATTTGTGCTGTATTAAACTATTCGAAAATTTATTTGTTTTACGAAATACTGATGAAAAATCATTGCTATTGATTTTAATCTAAAAATACTGATGAATATTTGATATAAAGTCTGATCAAAGGCATTTAAATGTACAGTAGACTACCTAAAATTGTCCCTCGACTAGAGTCAAATCTTTGAAAGATTAATAAAATTTTCATCACCATTGAAAATCGCACTCATTTTTTTCGTCGCACAAAAAAGGGACAATTTCAGATAGTCGACTGTATATTAATAGAAACAAACCAATTCTTGTCCAGTCAAAGTCTGGCCAGATTTACATCTAAAAAATAGCGTGTCGGTTAGTTTCATCATCGTTCATAACGTTTTATTTATTACCAATCAGACTCGTCAATTGGTATTTTTTAGACCAACGCACAGTAGAATAACAAAATTATGTAGAATTGTGATTAAATTGTAACTAAAAAATACCGTTATCTTAGAACTGATTGATTTCATCCAAATAACTATTGTTATCGTTATATTATAAATTTTTATTAGGAAGGAAAAATTTTGGCAAAATTAAGTTTAAATTACAAGCCAAATGCAATTAATGAGAAGCATTAACAATTGTTGTTATTGATTTAGGGCTGAATGTCAGTGTGAATGGTTTGACATTCATACCTTCAACCGTTAATTTGATTGGAGCACTTTTCTTGTTCAGAACGGTTAAAACAGTATCATTTGTTGGAGTCTGGAAAACTGTTAACTTAACTTCATTTTCTGCATTATTCTTAATAATAGAATGGCCCAAACGTGTTGAACCAGGCCTCAGGAATCTGCTGAAATGCCCAAAAACATAATACATTGGTTGTTTGTAGTATTCAGGTGAAGTATTGTTGACAATAACCATTGAATCGATGAAATTATTAACCCAATTTGGTCCACCACTTTCATCTAGAGCGAGATTCCAATCAACCCAACCAGTTGACCAATGGTTAAGACCTTCAATTATATCTGTGGCATATCTTTCAGCTCGAGTCCAATTTCCCAATGATACTACAAATATATTTGATAACAATAATTAATTCCATTCAGAGAACTGAGCAATTGTTTGAATAACAAGACTTACCTCGTTCAGCTGCATAAACTCCTTCACTACCTTCAGTTGAAAGTAGAAAGACTTGTGGATAGGTCATCTTGATTTCATCCAATAACTCATAGAAACGCCGAGAATACCAATGATAGGCTACACCTGAAACATACTCAGCAGCTTCTTTATCTTCGAGGATTACACGTATGAACGGCATAATGTCTAATAATTGGTCATCCCAAATCATTAATTTCACTTTATCTTTGCCAAAACCTGCTTTCTTCAGAGCTGGACCCAAATCTTTTTTAATGTAATCTCTCATCATGTGACCAGAAAATCCACATGTATTCAAGGGCCAG